ATTGGGAGGGGGAGAAACTTCAATTCTTACCAATAAGTGACTCAAATGGAGAGCATGTGTAATTACGCGCCGTTTCTGGAGCTGTTATATACCCTCCCTTCCATTCCCTTTCTCTCTCGGTTGTTCAATGGTAGTTTTGGAGGAACATGGAATTTGGGGGGCGGAGTCGGAGTGTGTCAAGTGATGTTAACGACAATATCAACCTATGGAGGGACGGGATTGTAAACCGTTATTGAGAATTGCTATTTTCAAGATTTTCCAAGAAGTTCGCTGACCCTGGAACGAAAGTGACCGTAAGGACACCGTGGAAAAACAGTGGCATGTGTTTACTAGGCCTGGCAGTAGTGTACTGGCTCGTTTATCACGGCGTACTAGAGGTACACAAAACTGTTACTGTTTACCACTCGCTTTCACTCGAATCTCGTCGCTATAAAAAGGTCACGCTAGAATCAACCGTAATGTGCACCCCCACCCTCCCCCTCCCCTCCCTTCAGGGCTCCGATTGACGATGGTGCCGATGGGGCCGTTTGCCTTGGTTCAGAATGAAATTTATAACCGTAACTTGAGCCAAAAATGTGGGTTTCGAAAATGTCCGGAAATTCCCTTTCTCCCTGACTTCAAAAATGCTCCGATTCCGATCGACTCATATTCAGCAAATGACACCCGCCTTTCGACACTCGGAATGCAGGCCCATTTGTCTGACGGACGAATGGCCTCTTGGAGCACAGCTGTTCAGCTCCTTTATTGTGGTTTTTGGGCCCAAAAAGAGAATTAATAGGAATATCGGCTAGGTAATAACCATAGGTAGAATCTTGCGGAAAAGGTGCTGCTGCAAATGGCGCCACTTGCCTCGCCTCACACACAGCTCCAGAAAAGCGTTTGTTTGTGCCTCGTTCGGGTGAGCCATACAACTGTAATTACTCATAACAATCCTTGAAATTGTCGCTTTTAGATGTTTCATCTCTTTCTTCATTGAAAAGTTCAAATCGTTACAGTGCAATTGTTAACACATCTTCGCTGCTCTAATGATTCACTATCTTCTATTCTGTATACCAAAAGAAACGCGTGTTCCAGATGAAAGACGTGCACGTCGATGGAACCGCAGACGATCTTTTCAAGCCTGTTCAGGAATCGTTCAGGTACTCGATGCTTGCCGTTAATGCCGGGCACTGTTACAATAGTACTGCTAGAAGTTCTTAAAAAGCTCTAGGGGCTCAAAGCTTAAAAAGCTGAAACCCTAAAAAAGCTCAAAAACCTTTCTCCAAATCAACGCCTGAAACGTGGCTAAGTGCAACCCTCATTTTATCCCTCAGCAGATCCAGCTGGGTGAGCAAGCTGTAGGACAATTTTTTTAGGAAACTTTCAATGGGCTGTTTTACTTGTCCCTTTTATGGGGGAGGTTAAACGGCCGCGGTAGTAGAATTTGAAGGAGTTGCGTTTACAGGATAGGGGGAGGGGTTCGTACGATTGGGAGGGGGGGAGAAACTTCAATTCTTACCAATAAGTGACTCAAATGGAGAGCATGTGTAATTACGCCGTTTCTGGAGCTGTTATATACCCTCCCTTCCATTCCCCTTCTCTCTCGGTTGTTCAATGGTAGTTTTGGAGGAACATGGAATTTGGGGGCGGAGTAGTGTCAAGTGGTGTTAGTGACAACGTGAGCAATATCAACCTATGGAGGGGACGGGATTGTAAACCGTTATTGAGAATTGCTACCTTTTCAAGATTTTCCAAGAAGTTCGCTGACCCTGGAACGAAAGTGACCGTAAGGACACCGTGGAAAAACAGTGGCATGTGTTTACTAGGCCTGGCAGTAGTGTACTGGCTCGTTTATCACGGCGTACTAGAGGTACACAAAACTGTTACTGTTTACCACTCGCTTTCACTCGAATCTCGTCGCTATAAAAAGGTCACGCTAGAATCAACCGTAATGTGCACCCCCACCCTCCCCCTCCCTTCAGGGCTCCGATTGACGATGGTGCCGATGGGGCCGTTTGCCTTGGTTCAGAATGAAATTTATAACCGTAACTTGAAATGTGGCGTTTCGAAGATGTCCGGCCTTTCTCCCTGACTTCAAAAATGCTCCGATTCCGATCGACTCATATTCAGCAAATGACACCCGCCTTTCGACACTCGGAATGCAGGCCCATTTGTCTGACGGACGAATGGCCTCTTGGAGCACAGCTGTTCAGCTTCCTTTGTGGTTTTTGGGGCCGAAAAGAAGTGTATAGGAATATCGCTATGGTATATAACCAGTAGGTAGAATCTTGAGCAGGGAAAAGGGTTGCTGCTCATAATGGCGGCCTCACACACACAACAACATGTTTGGATCCGGGAGGTGTGAACCTCGATCAGAGCTCGTCTATGGCAAATAATCTTTTATCCCTTTCTGACTGGTTTATTGGTATCAGATTCGCCTGGGAGGATAAAATCCGGGTCGGTACATGCGGCTACCTCAAGAATTTGGTTGTGAGCCAAACTGCATCAAATGTTATAGAAATTTGAATGGAAGCGGAATGCGTGGCGTATCTCAAAAAGGGAGATGCTCAATATGCATTTATTGGAGGTGAAGCATAAAGTACACTTCCTATGTGGAAATTTTTTTAGGCTGAATCATTCCCACTGTATGAGCTTTATCTGGGGAGGATCTCTGCAAAAAAAATGTTTTGTTTAGAAACTGCGTTATCGCGTTGCTGATCTGTACATTCCTTCGCAAATATAAGAGAAAATATAAGGTTGTGAAATATGGTTTCCTCATGAATCAGAGGAATTGTAGCGCTATAGCTTGATCGATCCGTTTTTGGGATGCGCCACATATTCGAGTTCTACTGAGAATTGTAGGTGGCATTTGAATGCGAATTGGTCTTTCAGTTACGGAGAACTAGAGCGATGTACAATCATGTATTTGTGCTGCTCTCAAGTGCAAGCCAAGCGAAATATAATAAAAATGGCTGAAACTGGAAAATGAAGTGGCGTTTTTCGGTATGACTGGGACCGTTGGGTATCAAGAGCGCGCACTTGCCAACTGCGACCTCAGTTTTGCACCAGTCAATGCAATTGCAGATCAGATAAAGGAGGGCTGGAGGAAACACCCTGTTCCCACCAGGGAAATGTTTTTGAACTTTCATGGAACTCAGGATGGAGACATGGGGACCTAGCGTACATAGATAGATTTTTGGCACGTTGACAATATGGATGCACTAAAACTAGAGGACCTGAAAGAAAGTTGTGAGCCTTGAAAGTTGCAAAAGAACGCTAATGATGAGGTGCAACCTATGTGGAAACACGGTTGCTTTTTGCCTGGAAACTTTCTATAAGGGTAAATGGGTGCCCTGATTACGAATATGAGACTCGTTTTTGGCGCAGAGCCACGGCGACTGTGATTCCACCAGGTAAGCTCGCCTCAGTAACGTTTTTTGCCAACTTTGAAGGCTCATAACTTTCTTAGGAAGTTCACGTAGCAGTTTTAGTGTCCATATTTGTAATCAGCGTTCAAGACTCTATCGATACATCTGAATCTTCTTCCAAAGTTCCATGGGAACTTCAGATCACCGACCGATTTGTTTATTAATGAAACTGACATTTCAGACGAAATTTCACCGAAGGCTGGGAAAAAGGCGGTGCAGCGTTTGCAGTCTATCACAAGGGTAGGCTAGTTGTCGATCTGTGGGGTGGATATGCCGATAAGTCATGCAATCGGCTATGGAACGAGGATACGATGACGCTGTTGTTTAGCTGCACAAAGGTACGATTTATACCTTTATTGATTGATCATTTATTTACTCACTTGTTACTTGTTTATCTCTGTACCTGCTTGCAATTTTACCATTCTCTCATATTTTTGCCTGCGATTTCAGCCAACCCTCACGGAAAAGAGAAATTGAAAGCTATCGCTCAAATTGGAAAATCCTTCTGAAGATCTGGCGATATTCAATTAAACA